TGTCTTAGTTACCAGATGTGTGGGGTGCTGGTAAAATCATGTCTTAGTTACCAGATGTGTGGGGTGCTGGTAAAATCATGTCTTAGTTACCAGATTGTGGGGTGCTGGTAAAATCATGCTTCAGTTACCAGATGTGTGGAGTGCTGATAAAATCATGTCTCAGTTACCAGATGTGTTGGCCAGTCTTAATTGTCAGCTTGGCATGACCTGGAATCCCATGGGAAGAAAGTCTCAGTGAGGGACTTTCCAGCTCACATTGAGTATGCTAATCAATGTAGAAAGCCCCAGATGAAAGCAGGAGGCACCATTCTCTAGTGTGGGGCCCTGACCCATCTCAGAGTAGAGAAAGCTAGCTGAGCTCTTGACTGTGGTGTCATGTGACCGGAAGCTCCTGACACTGTGATGTCCCTGAAGTCATGGACTGTAACCTAGGATTGTGGACTTACAGATAAATAAATCAGCCCTTCCTCCCTCAAGTTGCTGTTGTTGGGGTATTTTATCACTGTGACATGTAGATGTAACCAACCATCTTATTAAATAAGAAACACAGAAGCAATGCAAAGAAGAAAGCCAAGAGGTCAGAGCTAAGAGCTAAAACCTTACCCTTCCTCCTGCAGTGGTCCTACCTCTCCAAACCAGAAAGACTTCCTGTGTGTCTGTCTTTTTATAGTGTTTCTGTTCTGCCTTCTCATTGGTTGTAAACCCAACCACATGACCGCCTCATCACGGCCTGTCTGTATAGACCTCCACGTTTTCTATTGATTGGTATTGAGATTAAAGGCATGTGTACCAATACTGGCTGTATCCCTGAACACACAGAGACTTACCTAGCTCTGCCTACCAAGTGCTGGGATTACAAGCATACACCACCACTGCCCTGTGTTTCCTATGGCTTGCTAATAGCTCTGACCCCCAGGCAACTTTATTTATTAACATACAAATAATATTTGAATACAAATAAAATATCATCATAGTGACAGGCATGAAATTAGGGCACAAGATAACCTGACCTAGATCCAGAATCTTACAAGACTGCCTCCTCCTCACCCTCATCCTCCTGTTTCTCTCCTCCTCCTCCTTGCCCTCATCATCACCCTCTTCTTCATCCTCATCTTCTTCCTCCCCTCCCCTCCCTCTTCTCACAATGTAGCCCAGGATGGCCTCAAACTTGAAATTCTCATGCTTCCATTTACTAATTACTGAGATGTAAGTGTGTGCCACTATGCCCAGCTCACAAGTACATGTGACACCTTGCAACATTCAAAAAGAAATTCATTTTGGCTAGTCATGGCAACCCATCCTTTAACCTCGGCACTCAAAAGGCAGGGGCAACCAGATCCCTGTGAGTTCAAGGCCAGCCTGGTGGACAAAGAAAGTTCCAGGACAGCCAGGGCTACACAGAGAAACCCTGTCTCAAAAAAATGCATTTTGACACAATAATATAACTTAAAACAATTTACAGAAACATAAATATACCCAGCAACTGGCAATGTTTGGTGTTAGATATAGATAAAAAGAAATATTACCTTAAAACTGAGGCAAGGGGTGTCTGCAACCACCACAGCCAGCAGCATAATTATCTACAGGAGACAAGAAGGTAGTTCAATTCAAGACAAGTCAGTAGCCAGTGTTGGTTCAAACTCCAGGAGTCTCTCTCCGAGTGGTTTATTTTAGGCATATTTAAGCACAACACAATCTGGAGAAAATTCTCCTGGTGATAATTAAGTTAGTCCTGTGTGCACAAAAAAGCTTGAAGTCTGCCTACACTGAAACTTTTTCTAAAGTACATGTGACACCTTCCATAAAGATGAAGTCAGTAGACTGACTGAGAGAAACAAGCTCATGATATGGGTCCAGGGGTGAATCTAGTGTGGCCTCAACCACACCAACAGCACAAGGTCACCAGGCTATGAACTACATCTGCTCCTGGCCTTCTGGGTGGACAACAAGTTATGCATCCCTCCCTTTGAAGGGACAACCCTGTGTGTTTAACATTCCTGGTTCCTCTAGTGCTTATCTGTGTGTATAGAACCCCAGTGACACCTCCATAGAACTTGTAATGCAAGTCTGTATGGTGTAGATCAAGAATGTCCCTCCCAAAGGCCTATGTGTTACAAGTTTGGTCCCTAAGACTAGTTAGAAAGAAGAAGGAGATCAGTGGGAGGGGACAAGAGAGGGTAATGGGGGCAAAATGATCCTAATACTTTATATATATATATATATATATATATATACATTTATGAAAATTTCAGTGGTTAAGAGCACTGGTTGCTCTTCCGGAAGACCCAGGTTTGATTCCCAGGACCCACACGGTGGCTCATAACTATAACTCCAGTATTAGGAGAATCCAGTGCCCTCTTCTGGCTGCCATGAACACCAGGCACACATGTGGTATACAGATATGCATGCAAGCAAAATACTCATACACATAAATAAAGTAAAAATATTTTTAATTTGTTAAATAAGATATTATAAAGCCACTTTATGCATAGTTAATATATGCTAATTAAAAGGTAAGGAGAATGGCTTGTTCCCCAAGACAGCAATGTTCAAAGGTGGACATTTGTGGTTAGCGACTGGCTCACTGACTGACTTCATCTGTGGATTAACTCATGGATGAATTCGGAATCTGATGGGCTGTTGGGAGGAGGTGGAAACAGGGAAATGGTGCCTTGTAGAAGGGAGGGGGCCCCTGAAGGTCTACCTTGAGGGCTCCTGGCTCTCTCTCACTCTCACCCCCCACCCCTTTCCTCCCTGTTTCTGCCTCCCTGTGGAGCCGCACACTCCTCAGCCTGGTTCACCTCACAAGTGAAATGCCCAACACAGACCTGGCTTGCAGCTCTGTCTAGCTGTGTTCCACCACTGTCCTCCCCACCCCTGCCCTCTGTTTCTCCCCACGTCCATGCCCCCCACTGTCTCTTTGCAAACAGGCAACAAAGGCCAAGCAGGAAGAAATTTAAACTCCACAACACCACCTCCTGTTTCGTAACAAACCACAGATCTCAGGTTTCAAACATAAACTTAGATGTTATTGTTGGCTGTCTTCTAGCAAGTTGGGGTGGGGTTGGGGGGTGTTGAGAAACATTAAACCCATATCTTATTTTTCTTAACAAGATCAGAAGTCAACAAATACTCCAGCTGGACTACCTTCACCTTCTCTTGAGAAGTCTGAAATTTCTTTTATTTATTTATTGCACATGTGTGTGTGTGTGTGTGTGTGTGGTGTGGGGGTGGGGGTATATGTGTGTAGGTAAATGCATGGGCATAAGTATAGGTGTGGGTGGGTGTGCACATGTGTGGGCATGTGCATGGAATCTGGGGGTTGACATCCAGTCTCTTCCTCAATCACTCTCCATTTTTTTTAAAGATTTTTCATTTTTTTTTTTACCTCCCCGTGGGAGGCCTTACCTTCTTGTAGGTGGGAATGGGGTGTGGGTTGGGAGGGGGAGGCTGGCAAAAGGAGAGAAGAGGGGGATCTTGGATTGGTGTGTAAAAATGAATTTAAAAAATTTCTTAATGAAAAAAGATTTTTCATTTTTTATTTCTCTGTGTGTGTTTGTGTGTGTGTGTGTGTGTGTGTGTGTGTGTGTGTGTGTGTGTGTGTGTATTCCACATGTGTGTAGATACATGCAGAGACCAGAAGAGGGCACCAGATCTCCTAGAGCTCCAGTTACAGGAGCTTGAGAGCTGCCCAGTATGGATACTAGGAACTGGACTCTGGTCCAGAAGTGCTCTTAACTGCTGAGCCATCTCTCCAGCCCTGATCACTCTCCACTTTATTTTACTAAGGCAAGGTCTCTCATCAAACCCAGAATGCACTGACTTGACTAGTCTAACTATCCAGCTTGCTCTGGGGATCCCCTGTCTTCTCTGCCTACTGAGCAGTTGGATTCCTAGTGGGCTGCCCTGCATACCCAACTTTTACCTGGGTTCTTGGGGATCGGAGTTCAGTCTTCACATTGACAGAAAGAATGCTTTACCTGGGATCATCTCCCAGGCCCTGAGTCAGAAGATGCAGAGGCATTTCCATATCAGAAATCTGATGACTGTTAGCAATAATCAAAACCTGAGCTGTTGAGATCACTGGCTGTACTGGCAAGTTGGCTCAGCCGGTAAAGGCACTTGGCGCCAAGTCTGTTGACCTGAGTTCTATCCCGGCAAACTGCATGGTGGAAAGAGAGACACAGTGCCCACAAGTTGCCCTCTGACTGCCACAGGTGTGTCATAACACATAACATATGTGCCCACACATATATATGCACACACGTGCACACATACACATACACAAATAAATAAATACATGTAATAAAAATTTCAGATAAATGTAATGGTTTTTGTTTAAAGAAAAATAATTTTAAACTCATGACATTTTTTTTTTAATTTTAAAAATCCATTACACTCATTTGCAGAAAATTAGTATAATTGGAAATTATCACATGAAGTAAAACATTCCAGACCCACAAAGACAAATAAATTCTAGTCTATATCCTGGGTTTCAATTTTCATTTATCTGTTGGGCTGGTGTAGATCATGAACCTAGAAAAGAAACAATGAAGAGGAAAGGAGGCCTTACGGAACAGTTAGAGAGGAGAAAGAAAAAAGAGGAAAAAGGGGGTCACTGGGGTTTCATGGGGGCAGAAAGGGAGCCAGTAGGAGGGGATAAGGGAATTAACCCAGGCTGATGGCTCAGTGGTTACCAGCACTGGCTGCTCTTGCAGAGGACCCAGGTTCAATTCCCAGCACCCACATGGTGGCTCACAACCGTCTGTAACTCCAGTGCTAGGGGATCCAATGCCCTCTTCTGATCTCCATGGGCACTGACGTACACTGAAGGCAGCATACCCATACACATAAAATATAGATCAGTCTCTGGACTGGGTGTGGTGGCACACAGCTCTAATCCCAGCACTCTGAAGTTCCGGGCAGGAGGATCCCCATGAGTTCAAGGCCAGCCTGGTCTGCATAGTGAGTTCCAGAGTAGACAGAGCTACATAGAGAGACTTTGTCTCAATAAACAAACAAACGAATGAATAAATGAATGAATGAATCTCAAAAACAAAGTACTATGAAACTGCCTGAATGAAATCCATCAGTTTATATAATAAAAAGGGGAAACATAATAAATACATAAAATTTTAAAAGCATAAAAAAGAAAAAATTCTTCTGCTGTAATTCTTCTACCCACTCAGTTAAGCTGCGTTTCGTTTTCACACTGCAATGATAAAGTGAAAGATTCTTGCAGTGTTATACATTCAAGAATTTGCCTCTTTTTTTTTTTTCTTTTTTCTTTTTTTCTTCCAGTACATCAAGAGCAGCTGCCAGATCCCTGTCAACTATTACTGGGGGTTTTCTGTTGTTTGGGGTGGTTTGGCTTGGTTTTGTAAGACCGGATCTTGCTACATAGCCCAGGCTGGCTGCAAACTCGTGATCTTCCTGACTCAGCATCCGGGAGTCCTGAAACTGCTGTGCCTGGTGTCTGCAATCACTGTTATCACCATTGTATAGGTGAGAAAACTAAGTCTGGGGCTGGAGAGACGGCTCAGCAATTAAGAGCATATACTGCTCCTCCAGAGGTCTGAATTCAGTTTCCAGCACCCACATGGGTAGCTCTCAGACACAAGTAACTCGAGCTCTAGGGGATCCAATGCCCTTGGCACCTGCAGTCACTCACACTCAGACACACATGCAAATAACCATAACCAAAAATAAGGTAAATCTAGAAGAGGAGGAAGGAAGAGGGGAGGGAGGGAGGGAGGGAACAAGCTAAGTCTCAGAGGCAAGGAGAGTAAAACAGCACCCAGGGTGGCATCACCTCTGTCTGACTCTTCCTTGCCTTTTCCAGTTCTACAAGCAGCAAATGCAGTCAAGGGTGAAGTCCTTGACTCCCTGGGGCCCTGTGTGTCTTATAATGGCTCTATAAACAAGTTCTGTTTCCAGAACTGTGCTGGTGGCTTCCACTTTGGACCTGCCCATTTCCCACTGACTGGAAGGGGAATGAGAGGCCGACAGAGAGCGTGGGTCACATAAGTTCTTTAACAAATGGAGCCGGGCGGTGGTGGCGCACGCCTTTAATCCCAGCACTCGGGAGGCAGAGCCAGACGGATCTCTGTGAGTTCAAGGCCAGCCTGGACTACCAAGTGAGTTCCAGGAAAAGGCGCAAAGCTACACAGAGAAACCCTGTCTACACAGAGAAACCCTGTCTCGAAAAACCAAAAAAAAAAAAAAAAAAAACAAATATAAGGATACTAAGCTCCATCAGTTTGCAACCGCACTCCAAAGCACCCTCCACCCTCCTCAATTTGTTGTTGTTGTTGCTAATATTTTTACTTATTCTTTGACAAATTCACACATTTGCATAAATGTATATTGATTAAATTCACCTTCTAGTATCCTCTCTTACCAACTCCTACCCCCTTTCTTCGAAACAAACTCCCCTCCCCTCCTGATTTCCCTCCCCATTATTATTGTTGTTGTTATTGTTTAGGGAGACAGGGTTTCTTTGTGTAGCTTTGTCTGTCCTAGAACTCGCTCTGTAGCCCAGGCTGGTCTCAAACTCATAGATCCGCCTGCCTCTGCCTCCTGAGTGCTGGGATTAAAGGCGTGTGCTAACACCGCCCAGCTTCTTCTTTTATTTTTGATCTTGTTTTGAAACAAGCTATTGCTGTGTAGCCCTGGCTGGCCTGGAATTCGCTCTGTAGACCAGGCTGGCCTCATATTCACAGAGATCTGACTGCCTCTGCCTCCTATATGCTGGCATTGAATGCCAGCCACGACTACGTAGTGAGAACGCTATTTTAAAAAAATGTTTTTAGGTGTGTGTGTGTGTGTGTGTGTGTGTGTGTGTGTGTGTGTGTGCACGCCAATGCCATAGCACTCAGGAAGCTGAGGCATGAGGATTAGGAATTTGAAGCGACCCTGTGTTATGTGCGCGCCATTATGAAATAATAAACTTTTGTAAAAGAAGAATAACTAAACAAAAGCATCTGAAAATCTCAGACGGCCCTGCTGTTAAAATCAGGGACACCTAAAACTTTAGAAGCTGAGATTACTGTGCGCTTGTGTTTACAGGCAACACTATGACCGTTCTGTGGAAGCGAGTCTGGCCAAAGAAGCTGAAGTTTCTCCCCACCCATCATGGTAAACATTTGCAGCCACAGCTTGTGAGGGAGGGGATGGTGGAGCCAGCTTGTTTGAAATTTGTTTTGTTTGGAATGGGAAGGTCCGTGGTTGGCAGGCTGCCTCCCGGGTAGAGGTGACGGAGAAGAGAGAAGAAAGGCTAATCCTTACAGTCCAAAAGCTAACAGAGAAAGCAGGCGTGGCCGCCAACAGCGCCAGGGAACAACAGAGAGCTTGCCCTTCCACCCCCTGATCTTACTTGTCCAAACCAGTATTACTCATTCTCATTTAGCAACAGAGCCAAACTCCACTCTCAACCAAGTCTCCAGCATTCCTAGGGCCCAGGGGAGATGGGGTGTAGGTCTTTGTTGGGGTTCTGCTTGACTCCTCATGTAATCATGGGAATGATGATGAGCATGGCTTCCTACTTTTCAGTAAAAGCCAAACATACGCCCACACGGACAACAGCTTTGGAACTGCCTGTGGCTGCAGAGACAGGAACAGTGGGGGGGGGGGGACGGTGCTCTCCACAAGTCAAGCACTGTTCTGAAAACCTTTCAGAGACAGAGGTCAGCGCCACAGAGATGACTCGGTGATGAAGAGCACTTGCTGCTCTTGCAGAGGATGGAATTCGGTTCTCAGCACCCAGGTCAAGCAGCTCACAACTGCCCATAACTTCAGCTCCAGGGGTCTGACACCCTCTTCTGGCCTCTATGCATGCACAAGCACACACAGAGATACATGCACGAACACATACAGACAAATAAAAAACAAATCAATATTCTCTAAAGAATAGTTCATGGTGGCCTGGAAATGGGATCCACTTACCTGTGCCTCCTACATCCACTGAGATTAACCACAGTGCCTAGCCTAATAGCTCTGCGCTATTTCATTTAATCACAGAGAACAAAGTCCATGCCATCATCAGATTCCTCAGATTCTTCTCTCTTTGCTTCCTCTTTCTTGTCTTAGAAGCAAAGGTAGGTAGCAGATGACAGGGACCTACTTCTGGCTCAGCACCAGCCACCAAAGCAAATCCCCCCAGCCCTACAGAGCACCTGCTGTTCACATTGTTGACATTAGCCAAGGTTTCTGCAAACAAGCCAAGCCCAAATGTTACCCCAGCCACTTTAAGGAGGTGGGGGATGGGAACGGGGACTGGGGGTGGGGAGGGGAGCAATTAATCCTATTCTCCTTGACTCTTGACTCTCCATGACTTCTCCATGAACTCACGGTTGAGCGTGAGAGCAGTGTGGATGCCAGTGAACCCAGAAACCAAGCAAATGGGGTGCAGGCAACTGCCTCACTCTGAGCCAAGTCACAGATGAATTGAGGGCCTCACCCCAAGACCTCCTTGGTTTGTTCTCAAAACTCAGACCCAAGCTGCTAGCCTGATACTTGCGAAAATGCAAACATTATCTTCTAATAAAATGTTTACAGTGTTAAAGACAACCGCTAAAAGGAAATAATTAGATTATTTCCAGGCTGATTGAGGGGCTAGATATAAAAAAAGAACCCAATCTAATAAAGTGATATAAAAGGGAAGGGAGAGGCTGGTCGGTGGTGGCACATACCTTTGGCCCCAGCACTCAGGAGGCAGAGGCAGGTAGATCTCAGAGTTTGAAGCCAGCCCCGTCTACAGAGTGAGTTCCAGGACAGCCAAGGCTACACAGTGAAACCCTGTCTAAAAAAAAAAAAAAAAAAAAAAAAAATCCATCTTCCACTCCTTATAAAAATTCTCAGTTGGGGACTGGGAGAGATGGCTCAGTGGTCAAGAATACTTGTTGCTTTTGCAGAGGACTTGAATTCAGTTCCAGGCATCCACATGGCAGCTCACAGCCATCAGAACTCTAGTTCCGGAGGATTTGACGCCCTCTTCTGGTCTTTTTGGACACTGCATGAAAGCGATGCTCAGACCTACACATGGGAAAAATATCCATGCACATAAAATAAAAATAAATAAATATTTTTAATTCCAAAACTAAAAGTGGAAAGGAATGTCCTTGGCCTAACAAAAAAAAAGTATCTATGAAATTTACAACCAGGCTTGGCAGCACACACGGGATGTCGGGGCAGGAGGATCAGGAAGGCAAGGCCAACCTCGGCTACATGAGGCCCTGTCCAAACATTAAAAGGCAGGGGTTGGAGAGATGGCTCAACAGTTAAGAGATTTACTGCTCTCAAAGAGGAGTCAGGCTCATTCCCGGCATCCATATGGTGGCTCACATCTGTAACTCTAGTCCCAGGGGACCCAACACTCTCTTCTGAACTCCTCAGACACATACAGACACTTACGGACATGAAATAACCTCCAAAGGAGACAAATACTATATAATTCCACCTACTAGAGCAGTGAAATTCATAAAGAAAGAATGCAGAATGATTTTCCAGGGCTGAAGGGAGGGAGAAAAGGAAAGCCGTATTTAACTAGTGCCAGATGTCGGTTTGGCAAGATGAAAAGAGTTTGGTAATTGCTTACACAACACCAAACTGAGCAGTGAAAAATGGTCGAGGGGACGGATGACAAAAAAACTCGAAACTGGTCAAGGTGCAGGAGAGCAAGTGTCCATATGTGCTCCACCACAGGTCAGAGGACCTTTGAGGAAAAGGGCACAAAAATACTGGAGATGGCTCAGTGGTTAAGAGAACTGGATGCTTTTCCAGAGGACCCAGGTTCAATTCCCAGCACCCACATGGTGGCTCACAATGGATGTAACTCCAGTTCCAGGGGATCCGACTCCTTCTTCTGGCCTCTGTGGGCACTGCATGTATACAGTGCACAAAGATACATGTGGACAAAACACCCAGACACATAAAATAAAAATAAAGAAACCTTTAAAAGCTGGGTGGTGGTGGCACATGCCTTTAATCCCAGCACTCAGGAGGCAGAGCCAGGTGGATCTCTGTGAGTTCGAGGCCAGCCTGGTCTACAGAGCAAGATCCAGGACAGGTACCAAAAACTACACAGAGAAACCCTGTCTCAACAGTTGATGAGCTTAAACTGTTTAGGAGGCCCCCAGGCAGTGGAACTAGGACCTGTCCTTGGTGCATGAGCTGGCTTTTTGGAACCTAGGGCCTATGCTGAGACACTGCTTAGCCTTGGTACAGGGAGGAGGGGACTGGACCTGCCTCAACTGAATCTACCAGGCTGAGCTGAATCCCCAGGGGAGACCTTGCCTTGGAGGAGGTGGGAATGGGGGTGGATTGTGGTGGGGGGAGGTTGGGGGGTGGGAGGACAGGGGAATCCGTGGCTGATGTGTAAAATTAAATTAATTATGAAATAAAAATATTTTTTAAAAAAAAGAAAGAAAAGAAAAGAAACCCTGTCTGGAAAAAAAAAAAAAAAAAAAAGGTTGCAGGAGCCGTCTGGATATGACAGGACTTTGGTTGCTGGTACAAGATCAAATCAGTCAATACTCAAGCATGGAAGAGGAAGAAGTTCATGAGCCCCCACCTCTAGCCGAGGAGTGATGGGCAGCTGATGGTGTCTGGGTGGGTGGAGAGCCAGTTTTCTTTGTGGGTGTGGTCCCTAGTAGATCAGCCACACTCCAGTAGATGACCCAATACCCTTGAGTGTTTGAGCAACCTAAGACGGAGTCAATAGGTTGTTTTAAAACAAAAAACAAAAAATAACAACAAAAAGAGAACACAAGGGTGGGAATGGATTGGTGAGAGGTTAGGGGGAAGAATAAGGATGAGTATGATCAAAATACATCATATAAAGTTCTTGAAGAACGTGCATGCGTGCGTGCGTGCGTGTATGTGGTTTTTTGAGGTAGGGTTTCTCTGTGTACCAGTCCTGGCTGTCCTGGAACTCACTCTGTAGACCAGGCTGGCCTCAAACTCAGAGATCTGCCTGCCTCTGCCTCCCAAGCCCTAGGATTAAAGGTGTGCACCACCACGCCTGGCTGGAATTTTTTTAATATTATATTTTTTAAATGAATACAGTAGCAAATTTTATGCTTTCTGTATTTTACCATAATTAAAAGCTATTTAGCCAGGCATGGTAACACCAGTGATACCAGCACTCAGGTGGCAGAGGCTGGAGGATGGCTAGGTTGAGGATAGCTGGAACCACAAAATATTGAGAGCCTGTCTCAAAACAAAAAGGAAAAAAATTAAAGGTCTGTTTCACTTTTTTTCTTTTACAAACAAGGAAGATGAATTAATTCAAATGCTGCTTAAAGACCAGGTCAGCAACCTAAGAATGGGCAGTCATCACCTTGATTTTAATGGAGATTTAACCTTGGGATTTGCATGTGTTTGGCAAGCATTCTACATGGATTCTAGGCAGGGGCTCTACCACTGAGCCACACCCCAGCCCCTCACTGGGGGATTCTAGGCAGGGGCTCTATCACTGAGCCACACCCCAGCCCCTCACTGGGGGATTCTAGGCAGGGGCTCTACCACTGAGCCACACCCCAGCCCCTCACTGGGGGATTCTAGGCAGGGGCTCTTCCACTGAGCCACACCCCAGCCCCTCACTGGGGGATTCTAGGAAGGGGCTCTACCACTGAGCCAAACCCCAGCCCCTCACTGGGGGATTCTAGGCAGAGGCTCTACCACTTAGATTCCCAGCCCTCTATTTACTCTTTGAGTCAGAGTCTCACTAAATTGCTCATGCTGGCCTTGAACCCCCTCTGTAGCCTAGGCAGGCCTTGAACTTCTCATCCTCCTGCCTCAGCCTCCAAGTAGCTGAGATTATAGGCCTGAGCCACTAAACTCATCTTCAGATTTATCACTTTGGAAGCCAGTGATAACCCAAAAGACAGCAGCTTGAGTGGATATGCAGGAGAAAGCATCACTTTCTTTGAAAGCGGATTCAAGAGAGAACAGGAAGGAAAACCATGGAGGTAGTCAGGACAGATGGCATGGTTTGCTACAGAAGATGTAGAACTTTTTTAGACAATTATAGAAATTGAAACATGGCCTGGAATTTAGATAATATTACTAACTTTTCTGTTTAGTGTTACTTTGTAATAAAGGCATCAGGTTCTTTGTTTGTAAAGTTTTCTCCAACAGAGATACAGGCCAAAGAACACAGAAGTGACTGACTTGCATGATGTCTATGACCAGATGTTGCTCAGCCATTTAATCCTCTTGCCTCACCCTTTTAAGTGATGGTGCTGCTGATTGTCTACATCTGGTTTAAAACCACAGTTTCTTGGGACTGAAGGGATGGCTCAGAGGGTAAGTGCACTGGCTGCTCTTCCAAGAGGACCCTGGTTCAATTCCCAGAACCCAGAGCTCACAACTGTCAGTAACTCCAGTTCCAGGGGACCTAACACCCTCACAGAGACACACATGCAGGCAAAACACCAATGTACATAAACAATAAAAAGGAATCATTAAAAAAAAAAAATTAAACCGACAGTTTTTCATCCATTGCAGGCACTGTATTAGTTACTTACTGCTACTGTGATGGAACAACAGGGCCAAGGCAACTTACAGAAGAAAGAGTTTATCTGGCCTTAGGCTCCAGAGGGGTAAGAATCCATCATGGTGGGGAGTTGGCAGGCATGGCCACAGGCCAGCTGGAGTGGCAAACTCAGAGCTCAGATCTTCAACTTCAAGCACAAAGCAAAGAGAGATTAACTGGAAGCGAGACCAGTATTGAAACTCTCAAAGGCCACCCCCCACCCCAGTGACATACTTCCTTCAGTAAGACCACACCTCCTAAACATCCCCAAACAGCCCCATCAACTGGTGACCAAACCTTCAAACACATATACGCCTGTGGGGAACGTTCTCATTCAAACCACCACAGGCACTTAGGTTGATCCCATGAATTAGGTGGTGTGAATAACGCTGTCTATTAGGAAAGAGGAAAGAAAGAGATCAGCAGGAAAGGAAGGGAGGAAGGGTGCTGGTAATGGGGACATGATCAAGGTACCTTACATACATGTATGAAAGTTTCATAACAAACCCACTCCTTGTCCTTTTGGTTGTCAGCTTTAGCCTTCAGTGGCATGGATATGTGGCCACCCACTGAGACATGAGCAACCTACCAGTGGCCACATCCCTAAAGAGTGACTCTTCCTCCTTCAGCAATCAGTGGCCAATAACTCCTCCAATAGGGAGCCTCAGGGGCTCCTCCCCATCCTTGCTGGAATTTTGTCTAGCTTGATCTTGTGCAGATAACCTCAGCTGCTCTGTGTGTGTGTGCGCGCGTGCGTGTGTGCGTGCGTGCGTGCGTGCGTGCGTGCGTGCGTGCGCATGTGTGCACACAACACAGCACAGTTGTGGGAGGCAGAGGACAATTTGTGAGAGCTGATTGTCTCCTTCTATATAGTTCTGAGAGATCAAACTCAGAAAGTCAGGGTTACCCACTAGTTCATCTCATGAGCCCATGATTTTTTTCTTTTATTATTATTTTTGTTGACAAATATTCTGTATATTTATCATGTATAAAATGATGCTTTTAAAGATTATGTACCTCATGGATTGACTAAATCAAACTAATATTCATGGCTTTCATGTCCCTCTGTATATATAAAGAATAAGCAAAATTCACTCTATTAGTAATTTTCAAGAATATATATTGAAATTCTTTATATATGCATGTACATACATACATATATACATACACACATATATACATATATAGTGTCATACTGTGAAGCCAAGCCCAGCCTCAAACTCATGGTCTCCCTGCCGACTCCAGGGTTCTGTAACTACAGGTATGCTCAGATTAAGCCAAGTGTAGTAGCAAGTATCTGTGGTCCTGATGCTGAGGAAAAAAGATCACTGGAGCTGGGCAACATAGCAAGACTTCATCTCTAAATAGATTTTTAAAAAATGTATGATAGTCTAGCTAAAAGATGGGGGAGAAGTCTATTAGGAAAAAGATAAAACTAGACTGGTGATATGTTAAAAATTCAGGTGATGTAATCATGGATGTTTGTCATATTTTTCCTCACTTTTATATATCCTTTAAAAATGTTTACTATAGGTCTGGAGAGATGGCTCAGAGGTTAAGAGCACCGA